CCCCACGGTGGAGCGTTGCGTGAAGACCTGCAGCCGTGGGAAGGACTCACATTGGAGCAGTGCGTGGAGGACTGTCTCATGTGGGAGAGACCCCACGCTAGAGCAGGGGAAGAGAGTGAGGAGGAAGGAGCGGCAGAGACAATGTGCGATCAACTGACCGCAGCCGCCATTCCACATCCCCCTGTGCCACTTGGGGTGAGAAGGTAGGGAATTCAGGAGCAAAGTCAAGCCTTGGAAGAAGGGAGGGGTGGGAGGCAGACGTTTTAAGATTTAGTTTTTATTTCTCATTACCCTACTCTAATTTCCCCAAGTTGAGTCTGTTTCGCCCACGACAGTAATCGGTGAGTGATCTCTCCCTGTCCTTATCTCATGAACTTTTTGTTGTGTTTTCTCTCCCCTGTCCAGTTAAGGGGGAGTGATAGACCAGCTTTGGTGGAGACCTGGTGTCCAGCCAGGCTAAACCACAACGTCCAAAATCTAACTTTGATTAATCTTTCAACTGCATTAGGAAAGCATACCCTCACTCACTCTAGTACATGTATCTCAACTCTACTGTTTGTAAATTCCTGCAGGCCAATACTGTACTATCTTCTAAGTTCTCTTCTACTAACGCTTCCACAAGGAAGGTGAGAATGACCTTTTCAACAAGCATAAAACTAGAAATGTAGTTTTTATGCTTAGTTGATTTCCCTCTGCCTCAGCACTTTAGTTTTTGGGTTACATGAATGACTTACCTGTGATAGGCTTCCCGGCGGTACTTTTTCAGAGCGTGCCCATCCATGTTTGCAGGGAGATCTGCTGCATTCTGGAGTCGGTCGCTCCATGAGGTTGTCATCTTGAAATGCTTATTTCTTTCTGAAAGAGGCAGAAAAGTTTGCTTAAATTCAAGGTTTCTTTCACCAGAAAGTTGTCTGTTTCCTGGTATGAAGAGATGCAATGCTACTCAGGAAGTCTTGCAAAGCAGCCAGCGGAATGATCTGAGTTTGCAGGTCAAGCAAGATGCTTTCCTCTGAGATGTTCAATAAAATAGGAAATCAAAACAGAGAGCTGGGAAGGCTTTTCCATATGGCTAGAACTGTAAAGATTCCTACTCATTGTGGTGAAAATCTATTTAGAAACAGAGACCTTGTTTTAATTGCTGAAAAGGGGCGGGTTTTGACCTTAGAGTTACTAGTATGTGTTAGCTATAGGTGATGGAAAACGTAGACTTTATACACGAGATAAACTAGGCAGGGCAAACCCTACAAACCCCAGTGGGACTGACTTTGCCACTTCTATCACGCAGTGAAAATAAAGAGCCTTGTCCCTCACTATTTGATCTCTAAGCAAAGACAACGCCTCAAACTGACACCAAATTACCACCAACAATTGGAAGGGAAGTAGAAGCATGGTCTTTTGTCCTCTGCAGGTCAGCCACATTCAGACAGAGCATGAGCACGCCACAAACCTGTAACACTAGCAACGCAAATAGTCACCAGCAGATCTTCACAAACATCTGCACCCCTTCACAAGTACTGGTTGTCAAAACCAAACCACCAGACAGTCCTTCTCATCAGGAAGCCTCCGCAGTGAAGAAACGGGTACCTTTCCTAATTGCGTCATTAGCACACTGGGGCAATCCTGCTTGCTCCCTCCTCCAGCCAGATGCATGTCCTGCTGTGCCCCTGGCACCAGGTGGGATGATGAAGCAGCCCCACAGTGAGTCAGATCAGCTCACCAGTCCAAGTCCTCACCCACCAAAACCAACTGACCAAAAGCAAACTGGGTAGTTTGCCACTGAACCCAGCTCAACCTGCCACAACGCTATCATTAGAGCCCGTGTGAAGAGCGGGGTGGGAGACACATCCCAGTTATACCAAATCAGGTATAACATGAAATCACACTCTTGTGTAACCCACACAACTGCTGGACCGCAGGGCTTGGCTTGTTTGCTCTTCCTTAAAAGAAACAAAACCATTGACAAGCTACAGGGGTAATGATACAGCAACCATTTCTAGACACCTTTAAAATACAACTGCCCTCACTCTACAGAATGGAAACTAGATGATTTCAGCAAGTAGAGGGTAGAGTGACTGTCCAAACCAGCCTTGGGACCCACAGCATGTTCGGCGGTCACACACGTGCTCATTCTCCTAGAGGAAATCTGTATTATTTTTTAGTTCTGAATTTGATTAAAGAGCAACAGTTGCAATTGTCATAGCATTTGTTAGTTATTTACCTACAAATTGCTGGTCATAAAAATCAAACAGATGGCAAACAGCTTGTCTGTAAAAAATATGTTCCTCCCTCCCCCAGCATTCTTTGCTTGTCTCCCAGTTACTATAACCAAGGTTTACAAACGCATCTTCTGCCACATCCTAAAGGTCACCAAATTTAGGCCCTGGCAGGCAGCCCAAGTGACCGCATGCCAGAGTCAAGAGCTCTCCCCCCGAATTCCCTGCAACACACCCAGGAGAGGAGGTCACCGCAGTGAGAGGGCGATGGGCCACGCCAGCCAGCCGCAGCTTCCACAACAGGGCATGCAGGGAGAAACAGCTTCTAAAATAGCCCAGGTCCCGGCCACCAACAGCTTAAAAGTAATTACCAGCTGTTTAAGCCGTGCCCAAAGGCAGATGGAAGGCAGCACAGGGCATAGTACTCAACAGCCCACAAGCATCAACCTGTTCCTCTTCACAGGCAGCGCACTGCGGGCAGCAACGCTCCTTATGGGCAGCAAGGGCTGTGGCAGTGCTGATGAGGGGACTCGGAGAGGAGCAGTGCCCATGCAGGAGTGACAGACTCCAGGTCAGCAGCCGAGAGACACACAGCACAGCGAGGGATCTGGTACGACCCCACGACTGTGAACTACGGAAAGGGCTTGTGGAAAATCATCTAGCCCATGGACATTTCAAGATGGTCCAGGTCATGAGCACCTTGGTCTTACCTGGAGCTATTTTAAAGCTACTAACCTACAGCTACAGATTCAGATCCAAAAGACACATACATATAAGGCCTCTAAAAGGCAAGCTCAATAGCTCTGAAGAAACCTGTTGCATGGCTGGTCTTATGACTCTTAAGCAGGTCCAGGTCTGGTTCTTCCAGATGAAACAAGTCCAAATCTAAGCTTCCTGCCATTTAGAGGGGCTACACTATTCTGCTTACCCAGCCAGCCACACAGCAAGATTCGAAGATATACACCCACAGCCAAAGCCAGAGACTTTCCGTTCTGCCAGCCTCTTCTTCCCGTCACCATCACACCCCATCAGAGATGCTGACACAGATACCAGGACAGGACTGCTCCCAATGGCCATCCACGCCAGATACCTGATAGTTCACCAATCGTATCCTACAAAATATCCTAATATCCAGATGGCAGAAGAACTTTAGCAGTTACCTTTAATAACATCCTTTCTAAAACGAGGAATCAGTGAAGCAGTTTGAGCTCCTACATGCCAAACTCTCCTCTAGGGTAAGAGAAACCAGACTGAATCATTCTATGTGTGCTGCGATTCAAAAAGCCGAGACCTGAGGAAACCACAAAAATCTGAATTTCCATAATTGAGCAAGAAGGGCCTGAATTATTTTAATGTTACAGCACTATTTTGCTGTAGCTGTGATGAACAAAGTTCATAGGCAGGACAAGGTTTGTAGACAGAGGCAATATCTTTTATTAGACCAACTGGCATGGCTGGAAAAAATAGACAAGCTCTTAGTCACACAAGCTTGTCTAAGTTTTGAAACTCTATCGGTTGCTCTAATAAAAGATATTACCTCTACCTTCAGGCTTTGCCCTGATTTATTTATTAAAATCTTACTTTTAATGTTCACACAGCATAAAATAAAAAAATCTTATGCTGAAGTTTTGCATTACATGAACTCAGAGGCACTCTTAGAGCTTAGCAGGCTCCACTGGCACTGTGACAATAGCTTACTGATCTGAAATAAAGCGGTAACAGCTGACAAAAGATATTGTGATGGATGTTCCCCGTCCAAAAGTCTTACACAAGAAGTTCGATGGACTTCAATGAAATTGTTCTGATGCTTCAAAGGTGTAAAAATCAGCCTACCAGCGTGGGCAAGAGATATGGGGCCTGATCCCTGAATACAAATTCCTTCTTCCAAATAGAGAGAGAAAAATAAGAAGGGCTGAATCACTCCATACACTTGTAAGTCACTGGAATAAACATCTGAGAGAATGGGCAGCCAGCCAGAGAAGATTCTCAACTTTGAGCAACTGAAATACGATGCATCTTTCTTTAGTTACAAATCTATTTTTGAAATCAATAACCTGTAAATAGCTTCACATAAAAATAGAAATCTTTACATAGATAAAGCATGTCAGAACACCTCCCCACAATTTATTGCAAACATGCTCCTTGCTAGTGCAGTCTTCATTAAGCATCTAATAGCATTTCTGGTACAGGGTTCATTTTGAAAAAGCATTTAAAATCTCAGCTTCAAAGCTTTGATACAGAACTACTACCCAGCACATACGCTTTGGTCCAAAAGAACATAAGATTTTAGCACATATTTTGAAATAAGTCCATTTGCTTCTTTTGTCAGGTTTTGGCTGATTTCAAATATTATCCATAGTGTACTTTTTTCAAGTACTCACACGTACAAAATAACATATCCAGAAGCATTCCCCTTCAAGTTTTACTATTATTTTTCTTCCCTTTTTTGACAATCCCACTTTTTCCAGGATATTCTCCGAGACCTTATATAGCAGAAAACAAAAGCATCACTAACCAATCCCAAGGTTGTAGCGTACTCACGCTGATTTGCCATGCACTACATCTGCCTCTTCTCACATGTTCTGCTTCAAGAATCCTTAATACCTTGTCAGTACAACCCACGCATGTACATGCACAGTGGAAAGTAAACAGAGAGAAAAATCATCACACTTAATGTTAGCTACTTAAAAGCTTTGCATCTAGTCAGAGCCTGCAGATGTACAGACAAGTCTCGTGGTGCCCTTGCCAAGCCTAGAGCAGTTCCTGGATCCCCACCAAAATGCAGCTCCATTTCAGGCGTTTTTGTGGGGTCTCAGCAAGGGAAGAATGAACCATGTTAAAATCCTGAGAAAGGGAAGAAGGAAGGGGAGCAGGACTGGGGTCGGTCTGTTGAAAACTCGGATCAAATCTGTGGTCCAGGTCATGGCATGGCCTCACAAACAGGGAGGGGAAACACAGTCCCAAAGCACTTCACAAACTCTCATTCACACAACACATTTAGGGGCAGCAAAAGGTGCCGTCCCCGTTTTGTAAGATAACGATAATACAGAGCAAGCGGCAATCAAATGCAGAAGTCCTAATTCCTCAGACTCTCTTGCTAATAACTGGTCTGAGCTCCTACCGCTGTCAAGATGAATCACAGAGATACACTGCATCTTCCTTGCACAGTACACTTTAACACAAATTCCAATTTCCATACTTAGCATCAACTGGAAGACACTGAGAGGTCAGCTAAAAAGTATATTAAATATAATTTCATGCTTAACATGGCCAGCTTCATAAATATAAGCATGCCTTGACATATGAGCCCTGCTTAAACTGCACAGTAGGAACAATACCTAGACTGGTACACCCTCAGCAAGCTCAAATCTCTACAGATTCCCAAACACACCTGACTTCTGCTCCTTATTCAAACCCTGCATTGACCTCTGACTCTCCCACATTGCACCCACACTCCCAGACTATTTACTTCTTTGCTGCGCAACCATTTCAGTCTCCTCTCGGACACAACGGCGTCAGTCTCCTCTCCGACACCCCCCCTCAGACACTGCGCTTGGTCTCACCCGCCATGCCCACACTGCAGCTCTCTGCAAAGGCAATGAATCAGTTCACATCTAAATAC